TCAGGAGCAGAATGGAGACTTTAGTATAGATGATGAAGCTAAAATGTGTGGAGCCAATGGCACTAGAATACCAGTGATATACATCTTAGTCCTTATGCATTAAGAGAAAACAAACAATAAGGTTCTTTTCTCCCTTTTACTTGAATTATTCCTTCACCACCAGAAAGAGAGCTTGATCAATGGTAGGACGGATAATGTCAGAACACAGAAATCAGAAATAGCAGCCTTATCCAATAGAACAGGAACACTCTAGTAAACAAATAGTATGCATCAAGGTACATTGTCAATGTCAGATGTCCAGAGAGATAACAGGTGGAAGTCCTGGTGACAGAAGGAATATACTGGCTGGCAATAAATAGACACTCAGGCAGTCAGGAGGTATGAGGAACCCCACTGTGTTATATCAGTCAGGATTCTGACAGGAAGCAGATGGCCCAATAAAATTAGGATAATTTGGAAAGGTACTATGTAAAGAGGATTGGGCTAGGTAAGGAAACCATAAGGAATAGTGCTGTACCCAGGGCTAGTAAGAGTGGGAATGTTACTACTTTTGAATCCAAAGAGATGAGAGAAGGGAATGGTTATTGCCATCTGTAAGGAACCAAAAAAACCAAACTCATTGCCATCGAGTCAATTCCAACTCATAGTGACCTCCTTTGGGTTTCCAAGGTGGTAAATCTTTAAGGAAATAGATTGCCCAGTCTTCCTTTCATGGAATGGCTGGTGGGTTTGAACCACCAACCTTCTAATTAGCAGTCAAATGCCTTGGGTACTAAGGAGTGGTACACATAGTGAGGGCTGCCATGACAGGGACTGCATTTAGAGACATAGTTTAGAGATACAGCCAGCCTAAAGTGACTCCACAGGAAGAGACCTAGGAGGAAAACTGTCCTTTCTCCCTTTGATCTCCTGATGGGACACCCCATTGATTGAACCCAGCTGGAAAGAGGGCAGGGAAACTCATCTAGGTCAACCTCCAAGCTTAGAGAACAGAGTGGAGATGAATGAAGAATGGATCAGGAGGGCAAAAAGAGGATCAGTACTCCTGTCTGAGGACATCTATAGTCCAAGAAATACTTGGTGAGCAATGCAAGACTTCAGTGTCAGCAGAGAATGGGAACATCAGGCAGACACTTAGGTAATTAGGCCCATCTGAAGGACTTAGTCAAGTGAAGAAAGCAAAAACCTAGTTACTGGAGTTGACAAAACTTGCTGTAAAACTGACTTGAGAGAGTTATTACATTGTGAGGATTGCAATCAATGTCACAAAACAAAATGTATATGAACTGTTGAATGGAAAGCGAATTTGCTCTGTGAACTTTCACCCAAATCACAATAAAAAAAATCTGACTTAAAGATTACTTTCTAAGTTTCTCACTACAGAGCCCTTCTATTGCCTGCTCGTTGTTATTGTTGCTGTTGTTGTGTGCCATGAGTTGATTCCAACTTATGGTGACCCTATATGACAGAGTAGAACTCCTCCGTAAGGTTTCCTAGGCTGTAATCTTTACAGAAGCAGTTCACCAGGTCTTTCTCCAGTGGAGCAGCTTAGGGGTTTGCAACAGGGAGTGGCTGTCAGGGACTGCTGGGAGTCTCAGTTCCTTCATCTGTAAAGTGTGAATAATAATTGTACCTACTCCAGAGCGTGACTGTGAGGATTCAGTGAGTTAGTACAGAATAGCTGCTAAGATCAGTACCTTATAAAGTGCAAGCAGCCAGTGAATGTTAGCTATTATTTTTATTAAATGAAGGAGGCAGAATTGGAAAGATCTGAGGATGTCACATAGAGCAATATAGGGAACTAAATGAATTTATTTCCTAGATAATGGTTACATACATGATATTACCGCTTATTCGTTGTATTAGCTGCAGTAAAAGTACATTCACAAATCCTGACCAAAAAGAATTTTTTTTAAATTCCTTTCTCATTACATAAACTTTAAAGTTTCAAGTTTAAAATGATTTAATGTATTTAACATTTCTTAGGCTCCTGCACAGTCTCAAATCTAGTCTATGCAATGCTATTGTAGTTTGACATCTTTGAAACATCCTAAAGTATGCTGAGCCATCTATTTAATCAAGATACTCCTGGAACAATGTGGAAATTGAAATTTTGTTTGACTTCATACGGAAATGGAGGTAGTAAAGAATAAGTTGAAAAGCTTCTTAATTTATTAGACAGACATAGAGTAATCCCTCACAGTCAGACACTATGGAGAGAGATCCAACGGATCTACCGACTCAGGACCATAGTACTAGGGGACACCAGACTCAGTTGGCACAACAAAATACATGAAAGTCTTGTTCCTTGTCCTACATTGGTGAGTAGCAACTGGGGTCTTAAAAGCTTTCAAGTGACCATCTAAGATGCAGCTAATGGTCTCCTATCATCAGAAACAAAGAAGAGTGCAAAAAAACAAGGGCATTTGGAAGCAATCACTCCTAGGACATGATGGACCTTGAGACCAGAACTATATGGTGCCCGGCTACCAATGCCAACCACTCAGGAAAGGATCAAATCTGAAGATCCTAGAAAGGGTGGGAGGAAAAACGTGGAATGAAATCCAAAAACACAATAATGACCAGAATTACTGGTCAGATGGAGTCTGGTGAGACCCCAGTACTATGGCCCTAGGATACATTCTGGGCCTGGAATAAAATGCACTCCCAGGGGCTGGCTCTCAGCCCAATAGTAAACAAGATGTACATTCAGACCACTCAATCCAGGGTGACACAGCCACATACTCTATGGAGATGCATCCTTTGGAGCAATCAACCATGGGGCACCAGAGGGGCAACATTCACATGGAGGAAATGCAGGACACAGAAGAGGACATAACTATGAGGGGCACGGGGGTGTTTACTGGGCAGGGAGGGGAGGAGACTGGGTTAGGGTTGGGGATGGTAAATGGGGAATGAAACCCAATGTACCTGAAATGTTGAGTGTACAATTTAAAAAAAAGTTTCCTAATTTATTGTTGTTAGGTGCTGAGTAAAACTAGTCATTACCCCCACAAGTCAAGAATACCTAGACTGATGAGAAAGCTAACCAAGCACTTGCTTTGAGGTAGAGCAGTACTCCGTGCTGAGGGTACAGCATGAAAAAACACACAATAATTCAGAGCCATTCCAATCTTGCTTTCTCTTCTCTGTGTATGTGATCTTTCATTCATTATTTATTTATGCCTTATTTCTTAGATATTATTTTCATAAGTTAGTTATTGCTTATATCATTGTTTTTTAAACTATGGATTGTAACCCATTAGTAGGTTGTAAAATCAATTTAATGTGCTTTTAAATGAAATAGTATAGAGTAAATGGAATAGAAACAGAGAGTGTATGACATGTATTAAGGGTAAGTATTGTTTCATAAAACTTGTGTTTGTTTTCTGGATCAAAAGATAAAATATATTTGTTTATTGCAAATTGCTGTCAAACAATGTTTGAAATCCATTGGCTTATATTATTCATCCAAAAATACATCTTGGCAGTTCTCATGGCTATAGTTATGTTTAATCTTGCCCCCTACAACTATGTACGCTTTCTTTTACTTAAAAAAGAAAAAAGGCAAGCATTTTCTAATGGACATATAAACATGGAATCACCAATTTATGGATATTATAACAGAAAATGGGCCTGAAATATCCTGAACAGTTGTTGTTGTTATGTGCCGTCGAGTCGGCCCCGACTCATAGCGACCCCTCCTTGGGTTTCCGAGGCAGTATCACTACGGAAGTAGGATTGCCCAACCTTCCTTCCGAGGAGTGGCTGGTGGGTTTGAACCGCCAGCCGTCTGGTTAGCAGGCAAGTGTCTTAGCCACTATGCTACCAGAGCTCCCATCCTGAACAGTAGTCATCGTAAAAGAGGTTTGATATGCCCATTCTGCTTGGTCCTGAATAAATTTTGTGTTTGTGAAGAAACATGAAGATTTAGCCAAATTCTGTCAACATGAGAAAAGTTTAGTCCAGTTAGGGATAATGCATAGCCTATGTTCTTATGAACTAATTTGATTTTAGTAATTTGCAAGCTTAAAATAATTTTTTACCACAAATTAAAAAATTTAAAGTAACAAATCATAACTGTTAAAACCTAATTGTTTATTTACTTTAAAAGGGAAGAGGATAGAATGGAAGATTTTTATACTTTTACTTTATGCACTCTCTCTTTGTGATTTTCTATTTTATAATGAGTATTGCTTCACTGATATATTACAGTAAGAATGCAAAGACCTAATGTGCTGAGTCGTCTGTGTGTAGCAAAAGTGAGCTTCGATATTTTGATTCTATTTTGCATAAAAACTATCATCTACTCTATTAGGTTTTGAAAAACATTTCTCTCTTAGAGTTTATATGAAATGACTTGTTGCTCTCAAGATTTTATTTCCCATTCTTTATGATATAATTCTTCAGTTTACACCAAGGAAAATTCTTCCATCCCAAGGCTTCAGGGTTTCCAGTAACTAAATGAAAATCTCAAAGCAATTCTTACTTCTTTCCCTGGAATATTTTGAGCGAGCAGAGATCTGCTGTTGCTGTCTTTTCCCTAGATGTATAATTTCATTCCTCTGAGGTAGTGTTTGCATAAGTTTATAATGTTTTCTACTTTTTTTTTAGACTCCCTACAACTGGTTGAAAAGAAAAAACCTGTAAAGATGGAAAAATTCGACATTATTTGATTTTGTAAGTAACAACTCACTGCGAATCCCTTCATGAATGTCCTTATGTTGATGATGAAATTGAAAGACTTCAAACATAAATAAAAATGGATAGTAAATTGTTCAGTGAGGGAGAGTAAGATAAAGAAGCATTTAGTAAACGTATATGAATAGCTAGTGCAATTATCAAACTTATATTTTTAAATATATGTATCCTTTTTGTGTGTGTGTGCTTTTTTTTTAAGGAAAAACACTAACTTTTGTGCTACGTCCAGAATAGCATTATCTACATGGGTATTTCCTCCTCCCACAATTTCAAAAGACCCTTGATACCTAATTGAGAAAATGCAGAAGATCTTGCAAACAGATGAAATTACCAATACCGACGTTTTTAGGAAAGGGAAGAGGAAAAGAACAGAGACAATGGACTCAGAGAATGTAAATAGTGACACGGGTAAAGGACAGGTTGGTTTTCTTTTACCTTGATATAATTTTATTATCTAGCTCAACCATAATGCCTCTAATAATTTATTTATTCTTTCTCCTCCTCTATTTATTTATTCTTTTCTTTAAATTTTATTCATCAAAGGATTATAATTTCATGTTCTCCTTTAAATGTTGAATGAGTTGATTAGAAGCATATTCAACAGATAATTTACCTGATCCTATTTAGGTAAGAGTCCTTGGGTGGCACAGACAGATAAGCACTTGACTACAAACTGAAAAGTTGGTGGTTTGAACCCATCCAGAGGTACCTCAGAAAAACGGCCTGGTGATCTACTTCCAAAAAATCAGCAATTGAAAACCCTGTGAGCACAGTTCTGACTCTGACACTCATGAGGTCACCATGAATTGAAATCAACTCAAAAGCAACCGATATATATATACATACATACCTTGGAGATATTGCAAGTTCTGTTCCAGACCACCACAATAAAGTAAATATCACAATAAAGTGAGTCACAAAATTTTTAGTTTCCCAGTGCATATAGAAGTTATGTTTACAATATTAACAACAACAAAAAAAAAAAACCTCAACCCAAACTAACTGCCATCGAGTCAATTCCAACTCATAACGTGTCCCCATTCAGTTTCTAAGTTTTTTTAAGGAAAAAGTAAGAACTACCAAAATGTGACACAGAAGCACAAAGTAAGCTTCTACTATTGGAAATAGACTAACTCAATGCAGAGTTCCCACAAACCTTCAATTGTGAAAAACGCCATAAAGCAAAGTGCAGTAAAAACAAGATATGCCTGTATATAATTACATATATGTATATAATGACTAAGGAACTCTGGTAGGGTAGTGCCTAAGGCACTTGACTGCTAACAAAAAGGCTGGCAGTTCAAACCCACCAGCCACTCCTCAGAAGGAAGGTTGAGCAATCTACTTCCGTG